TGGACATGGACACATTGTGCTTAAAACCTGTCCTGTTCTCGTCCGTCCAGTGCTGGCTCCTGGGTGGGGGGGCTCTCCCTCACCCCTTTGTGTCCCCTTCCCTCCTGTCCACTTTCCCTGTTCTGTGCTGTCCTGCAGGGCCCTCTCTGAAGTCCCCGGCTCACTCCAGCCCCGCGGGACCTGTCCCCATGCTCATTCAGTTGGGCTGCCTGTCCCCGCCTCTGCTGGACTTCCTGCTCGGCTGGGCCTGATGTCCTCCTGTCCCAGGGCCCTTGGCCCCAGCCTGTGGCCTGCTTAGACCCTGCCTTGATCGGGCCTGCAAATTCAGAAGGGCTATGGAGGAGCCCTGAGCCTCGCTTTTCAAGAGTCAGGGTTCCCTAGCTGCCTGGCAGGGGCTGGAGTCCCGGGGGCTTGCCCCCACCCCGGCAGCAGTGGGGCTGGTATTTCCTGCCACCTCCCCCGCCTTCCCCGTCTGCCAGGCAGAGGCCGGAAGGGAGTTTGGGGGGGGGTTCCCTGACTTCCTGCTGGGGAGTCGGGCGTGGGGTGGGGGTGGGCAGGAGGGTCCTGGTGGCCTTCCGGAGGGGGCCTGTGCAGCTCAGGGATTTTGATCAGTGGGGAGGTCCCTTTTCCTTCTCACAGGGACCTCGAGGCCACCTGCTCGGCCGTTCCCGAGTGGCGGTGCTAGTTCTGCTTGCACACGCCTGTGATGGGGCAGTCGCCCCTGCAGCGCTCTTTCCCTTTACTGTTGACCCTCGCGCTCGGGGCCCAGGGTTGCTGCTCTCCTGCTTTGGGCGCCCAGCCTCCCGGGCATCCCACGCCTTCCACCTCCCACCTCTGCTTCGTGACTTCCGCTTCTGGCCTCCAGAGGTTTGCATGTTAAAGTGAGTTTTATGGCCTGAAACACTTTTTGTGTCAAGGGAGAGATCTGTCTATCCCCTCTTCCATGCAGCCTTCCTGGACTGAATCCGGCAGCGCTTCAAGGTCTTTTTGCCCGAGTTGGGGCTGCTAGGATGTCCCTCTGCCTGGACACTGGTTGTCTCTTTTTGGAGGTCCCTGTGCGCCATGGTCTCCATCCCCAGAGCCCTGAGTCTCACGGGTTGCTGCTGGTCCCAAGGGGCATGGAGGCTGTAAGTGGTGTGAGGTGCTGCGTCCTGGCCCGGTGAGGCCCAGGTTCTGAGCGGAAGAGGTCCAGCAGTTGGGTTTTGCCGCCTCGGGTGGGGCCAGCCGGGTGTCAGCCTCTCCTAGGGCTGGGTCTGGTGTGAGCCTGGCGTCCTGCAGCCCTGGCCCCGCCAGTCTGGCTGAGCTGAGGATCAGATAACCGTGCGGTGACCGCTGGTGACAAGTCCCCTGCAAGTCCAAAGTATGAGTTTCAGAATAACGCCTTATCGCAGCCACTGCTTATCAGTGGGTGGGGACAGATAGGGGCCCGGAAAAGGCTGAGCCTGCGTGCACGTGGAGGGTGGCGGGGGGCCCCTCTGCCAGCATGGGCATTTAAGCATTCTGTCCTTTTCTTCCTAACATTCCCTTCCTGGCCAGAAAGTGTCTCTGCAGAAGGCTCCGGAAAACATACCCAGCCCATTGTCACCCAGGCTCCGGGAAGGTGTCTGCCGTGGACGCTCTGTGTCAGCAGGAAGGGCCTGGAGTGGGGGCCCTGGGGCAGCGGGGGTCACCTGGGTGGGCTTTGGCTGGAGCAGCCCCTCCCGGGGGACTCAAGGTTCACTAGTTTGGGACAGTCACTGTACACTTGAGCCTGGAGGGCAGAGGGTGGGAACTTACCTAAGGAGCCAGGCCCCCACCCTTCACATCTGGGGGGTTGGCTGCACCCAGAGGCTGGCAGCTGGGCCCCTCCCCTGGCACCCCCTGCACCTGGCTCTCCTCTCCTGCCTGTTTCCCTCATCTTAGTGATCTCCTGACGGTTCTCAGACTTGGGCTGGGTGCGGGCGGTCCCTTGGGGGACTGAGGAAGCTTTGGGGTGCAGCCTGGCAGCTGGCAGTGGAACAGGCCACCTCCCTCCCTCCTTCCTTCCGGCCAGAGCTTTCTCCTGCCTCTCCCCCTCCTTCCTGCTGGGGCGCAGCAAGCAAACAAGCAAATAAGCAAGGAGCTCAAGCCCAGCGGCCCCCCTTGGCCTGGGGCGGCCTCTGCAGCCGTGTGAGCTGGAAGCCGCACGCCCCTCCCCGTGCAGGGGTGGTGGGCCAGCAGCAGGCCCTGCCCTGGATGGTCACTGCCAGCTACACCCTGCCCCTTGAGGAGGGCAGCCCCCGAGAAGCCCCCAGTCCTCTCCTCTAATTCAGAGCCCTCAGGTCCGCCAGGATCACCTGGGCAGGGGGTGGAGGTGGAGAAGCTGTGAGAATTCTGGCCTCAGATCCCCAGAAGCAAGGTGGGCAGCTCCGCAGGGTGGCCAGGCCCTTAGGCTTCTGCATGCACCAGTGGGGCTGGGACCCCGCTCCCAGCCCAGCCCGGTCCCCCAGCGGCTTCCCCTGTGCTCTGGTGCAGACTGCGCAGCCCCCACTTGGCTCTGCTCTCCCTCCCTGCTCGAGGTCAGCAGGGCGCTTCCCGGGACTGTGTGAAGGGGAGGCGCCTGCACGGGGTGAAGCGGGCTCAGGGATCCTCAGCCAGGGTCGGTGGAGGGCCGGGGAGGTGGGCTCTTGGGTATCCCCGCGGCCTGGTGGAAACAACAGTGGTGCTCTGCCTGGCAGCAACCGCACATTCTGGGGAGTCTGGGCGACTGGCACGAGTGCCTGTTTCCTTGTCTGTCCCAGATGGGTGGACATGGCCACAAGAGTTCAGAGGTCAAGGAAGTGCAGCCAGACCTTGGGTCTGCTGCTCTTCCTGCCCGTCCTCTCCCGCCACCCTGGGGAGACACCTGGGCATGCATGTTTGGCGTCCACCCGTGGGTGCAGGGATCTGAATGTCTAGTAGGGCTGGTTTGTAGTACCCATCTCTGCCAATAGGTGTCGCTGCCATCGAGTTCTGGAATTTCTTAAAGCTCTTATTTTCAAGTTCAGTGAAATGGTTTATTCCCAATTTTGTGAATGGCGAGGGTTTCACATGGATCTGATGAGGCTCTTTTGCTAGCCTCCACTCCCTGGCTTGAATGAGCAATTCCAGACTCCTTCCTGTGCTCCTCTTCCCTCAGAAGGGGAGCAAGGGAGGAGGTGCCCAGAGGTGGGGGCTGCAGGTTGGAAATGGGTAAGTGCTCCCAGAGGAGGGGGCCTGCAGGAGTGGCAGGGCCTCCTGTGTT